ACTTTGTGAACTTGAAGTGATAAACTAGAACTGCAGTAGAAATGAAGTAGAACTGATAAGGGACTGAACTAGAACTGAACTAGAACTGAACTAGAACTGAACTAGAACTGAAGTAGAACTGAACTAGAACTGAACTAGAACTGAACTAGAAGAACTAGAACTGAACTAGAACTGAACTAGAACTGAACTAGAACTGAACTAGAACTGAACTAGAACTGAACTAGAACTGAACTAGAACTGAACTAGAACTGAACTAGAACTGAACTAGAACTGAACTAGAACTGAACTAGAACTGAACTAGAACTGAACTAGAACTGAACTAGAACTGAACTAGAACTGAACTAGAACTGAACTAGAACTGAACTAGAACTGAACTAGAACTGAACTAGAACTGAACTAGAACTGAACTAGAACTGAACTAGAACTGAACTAGAACTGAACTAGAACTGAACTAGAACTGAACTAGAACTGAACTAGAACTGAACTAGAACTGAACTAGAACTGAACTAGAACTGAACTAGAACTGAACTAGAACTGAACTAGAACTGAACTAGAACTGAACTAGAACTGAACTAGAACTGAACTAGAACTGAACTAGAACTGAACTAGAACTGAACTAGAACTGAACTAGAACTGAACTAGAACTGAACTAGAACTGAACTAGAACTGAACTAGAACTGAACTAGAACTGAACTAGAACTGAACTAGAACTGAACTAGAACTGAACTAGAACTGAACTAGAACTGAACTAGAACTGAACTAGAACTGAACTAGAACTGAACTAGAACTGAACTAGAACTGAACTAGAACTGAACTAGAACTGAACTAGAACTGAACTAGAACTGAACTAGAACTGAACTAGAACTGAACTAGAACTGAACTAGAACTGAACTAGAACTGAACTAGAACTGAACTAGAACTGAACTAGAACTGAACTAGAACTGAACTAGAACTGAACTAGAACTGAACTAGAACTGAACTAGAACTGAACTAGAACTGAACTAGAACTGAACTAGAACTGAACTAGAACTGAACTAGAACTGAACTAGAACTGAACTAGAACTGAACTAGAACTGAACTAGAACTGAACTAGAACTGAACTAGAACTGAACTAGAACTGAACTAGAACTGAACTAGAACTGAACAAGAACTGAACTAGAACTGAACTAGAACTGAACTAGAACTGAACTAGAACTGAACTAGAACTGAACTAGAACTGAACTAGAACTGAACTAGAACTGAACTAGAACTGAACTAGAACTGAGTTAGAGCTGAACTGGAACTAATTTAATAATTTATATCTCTTGCCCAACAATCTTTTCTTTTAGCTTCTTACTTATTTTCCCTACATATTACTAATGCTTATTTTAACATCCATTGTTTGGTTCTTTATTTCTCAGTAACTATTAAATTTTATAACTTTATTTTGAAAACAATACCCTATCATTTAAATAAATTTATTGATTGACCAAATATAACTAGAATAAAATGCGCTTTACATAATGAAACTCCAGTCAGATGCAGACAGCACTCATATGGAGTTACAATTGCAATTGTATTCGTAGACAAGAGGACAGACGTACACCAGTAAAAGTATCACCAGCTGCAATTTTAATACGATAATCTTCTTTGGTCATATCATACCATACATACATGTATAAAATACTTAAAAAATAATAATAAAAATATACAACAAAAATTTATTAAATAAAGGAAAGTTTAAGTGGGGATCGTAACGAAATTTGTGTGACTTATTGCATATATACGGTTTTGGCTATCGGTTCCTGAACACAAGAAATTTCGTAACTAGTTTTGTTCGAATTGAGTTTTGGTTATTTTCTAGTTCAGTTCAGTTCTGTTTGTATTCTTTTTTATGGCTACAGTAGGGTGTAATGAACCTAAAGTATTTATATACCATTAGAAATCTTTATACAAAAAACTTATTCATTCTATAAAATTTTCTTCACTTTATACGAGGGCTGTACAATAAATCCAAAAGTCAAGTAGAATTATGGTCAATGGACAATATGCTTTTCAGACGTACTTCGCATGCCAACTTATTCTCACAGCAAATGTGTTCTTACACATACAAACTACGTGTATTGGTTCCATACACACACACATCTACTTTACACAATTGTTAATATGCAATTGCACACATAATCGTATTCTTTGCTTCACTTTTATTATTATTCCTTTTTGGTTCAGTATCCATATTTTTTTTCAGCTTTTAAATTCAGTTGCTATTTTTATGTTTAAATTGCAATAACCCATTCATTTATTGCCTCTATTTCTTCGGCATTGATATTCTGAAACATTTTTTATGATGCCAAATATACCATACAGACACTGACACGAACATATAAAGCTTTTTACAAAAAGTGTATATTTAACTTAATGACAGGTAGTTAAATATAATAAAAAAAAAAAAAAAAACAGCACAATGAGCAAAAATTTTACAATTTTTGCTCTCATCTTTCGTTTGGTTAAAGAAATTATGGTAAAAAGAGTAAAAAAGAAATACTTACTTGCTCCACCATATGTAAAATCGCCTAAATGTATGTTGTAGAAAATATCCAATTGTGTTTGAGTAAGCATTATAAAAATGAATAGTTTTTCAAAGTAGAAAAAGAGAACAAGAATATGGTTTTTTTGAGTAGAGTTGAAAAGAAATTAAAATTACTACTTTTAAAGGTTTAAACGGTAAACTAAAACAAATAAACCTGCAGCTTTAAAGCTGTTTTAGGGAACTGAAAATTGCAAAACTAAAACTGATTTTGAACAAAAAAATATATATGAAAAAAATCCTTTTTGAAGCATGTAAAGAGACAAGAAATGAAGAAAATATTAATGTTAGCTTTATTATATGGTTAAAAGCTTATAAAAAGCCTTAAATAAATGAGCTTTTACATTTAAAATACAAGTATTTTAAAAAAGCTCCTCTTAATCTTTACAACTTTTTCGAAAACACAAAAGCTTTGAAAATTTTTTGAAAGTTTTATATTTTGATAACTTTAAATGTTTGTGAAAAGCTTTGAAAAGCTTAATTTTAAAATATATTATTCTATATAAAGTTTTAAAAACTTAGTTTGTTTCAAATGTACTATTTTAAAATGCTTTTTTATCATGACAAGCTTAAGAGCTTTTAAGGAGCTTTAAAGCTTTATATCAAAAGCTTTTAAAAATAAAGTTTCTGCCGTTTAAGGCCTTTAACAGAAATCAACTTTTTTCAAAACTTTAATTATAAAACAAAGTTGTCTAAAAGCTTTTGACAAATACATTTTGAGAAGCTTTAATTTCTTTTGAATTCTTGATATTTATATATTGTTATTAATGTTTACATTTAGTTTTTTACTTACTTGTCTCACCAGTGGTACAAGTCGCTGGTATCGATGGTGGTCCTCTTCCTATATTATTTACAGCTATCACATAAAATTCGTATTCAGTATAAGGACTTAATGCTCGTACCACATAAAACATGGTTATAATACCGCTAATCTCGCTAAAAGCCTTAAAATTTAAAAATTAGTTTAATTAGTTTATTATCTAAAAGCTTAAGTTTAACATTAAACAACTTTAATGATAAATCAACTTTTTCGTACTTTAAGATCATGCTGAAGTTTAAAAGCTCATAAGGCTTTTACAAAATTTTAAAAGCTTTAATAAAGTATATAAAAGCTTTGTGCTTTCAATTAACTTACACCAAATATAAAGTTTGTCACATTCCTATGAAGTTTAAAAGCTTATAACATTTGAAAGCTTTTACAAAATTGTAAAAAAAAATTGTAAAAGCTTAGTAAAGTGCATAAGAGCCTTTAATTTACAAAAACATAAGAGACATTGAAAGCTTTAGCAACATATCAATACAATTTTTGCACACACAGAGGAGCTTTAGAGTTGGACCTTTAGATAAAAATAATAAAAACATATTCAAAAAACATAAAAAGCTTTCAAATAACTTACAAAAACCAAATTTGTAAGCAAGTTATTAGTTCCATTTTATAAATTGTTACAAAGCTTTAGTAAACTTTAGAAACGTTTAAAAAAAAAAAAAACTCCTTTAACTTTGAGACTTTAAAGAGCTTTCAATGAGCTTTTTAATGAGTATTTAAAGCTTTTTTCTGACATTTGAAGATTTGTAAGTTCAAATAAAAGCTTTAGTAAACTTTAGAAACGCTTTTTAAGAAAATAGCAACTCCTTTAACTTTGAGACTTTAGAGAGCTTTGATGAGTACTTAAAGCTTTTTTCTGAAATTTGAAGATTTGTAAGTTCAAACAAAAGCTTTAGTAAACTTTAGAAACGCTTTTTAAGAAAATAACAACTCCTTTAACTTTGAGACTTTAGAGAGTTTTCAATGAGCTTTTTGATGATTTGTAAGTTCAAATAAACTTCTAAACTTTTGACTTGCTGTAAGAAAAAGTTTCAATTAAAGATGTTTTAAAACAACATTTTCTTGAAAACTTTTAAGCTTTTTCTATATTATGATAAAAGCTTTTTTTTAATAAATATAGGTACTAATAAAGCTTTCCATGCTATAATAAATAAAGCTTTTATTTTATTACTTACCTGATTAGCATTTTTAGGTTTATATTGTATCACATAATACTGTAAGTCTTCGGGGCCTTTATAAGACCACTCCAAACGTACAGAGGTGGCTGTAACTTCAGAAATTTGTACATCTGTGGGTGCGGTAGGTAAAGCTATAAATTAAATAGAAAACGTAGTAAAAATAAATCATATTATAAGACATTTAAAAGGTAGCCATTACTTACATTGAACTTTAACCACGGCTGTGGCTTCAATTTGACCCAATGAAGAGGCTGCTATACAAGTATAATTGGCGCTTTGCTGTATATTAGTCAATTCAATAATGTTACGGCCAATTGGTATATTATTTTCAGGTGTTAAATCTTGAGCGCCTGTTGGCATAATAATATTGGGGTAAATATATTTATTTGTATAAAAATTATAGAAATGTGTTCAATTACCATTCATCCATTTAACATGTGGCATGGGTGAACCCACTGCTATACAAGAGAGATTAAGATTTGATCCTAACATCACTTCATTAATGGGCTCTGGGGGTCGTGAAAAGGTGGGTGGTACTCTACGCACCTTAACATATAAGTTAGTAGCCTTGGAATGTTCAGTACCCACAGAATTCTCAGCCACACATTCATATTTACCCTGATCCTCTTCTCGACTGTTTTCAATTTGTAGGCCACCTAGAAAATAATAATAATAAAAAAAGTTTATATTAAAATGTATATTCCTTCTCATACTCTTAAACAAATACATATAAATGGTATTATAACTTATATTTTTAATATTTTTGTTTATTTAATAATAAATACAAAAAAAAAAAAAACTTTTATAAACTCATCATAAGTTGATGATATTGTTGACATTATACATGTCACAGACTTTTATATGGTAAAAAGCTTGCTCCATACTCTACTAAAAGCTTTCATGGCAGGTACATACATATGTATATGAGGGAAAATTATATACTATCGCTCTGTCAAATTGTTTATAATCTTTATCATTGTTAATAAATGTTTATATTTATGTTTGTGTTAAATTGATATTAAAATATTGTTTATGACATGTTTATTTAAACCAGTTTATTTTTTTTATAAAAACTAAAGTTTATTTTAAGTAAAATTTTTTTTTTTTATAAAATTAAAACATAAAAATTTTGCTTTCTGCAATTTAACAAAAAAATCAATATTTTTATATTTTATCAACAATATTTTTTATTACAAACCTAGTCTGTTTTGTGGTAAATGTTACAGAGAAAAAAACATATTTATATAAATTGTTTCTTGTTTTTGAAACATAAAATGTGGTCAATATATATTGGCTACTGCCATAAACCAGACAAGTAATGGATAAGGGACTGGACTCTGTATATGAAAATTTATGACAAAAATATGTGACCAACAAAATATACGTACATACATATATACATAAAATAAAAAGAGAGTACAACAAAAATGAAAGTAAAGCAAATGTCTTTTTCTGTAGGTATGCGTAAGTTTTTGTTGTAAAATATTATTAATATTTTACATTAAAATATAACATATATTTTATTTTACCAGCATACTTTTAGGTTGATTTAAAACAGATATTTTTAATACAATTTGGGGCATACTTTTAGGTAAGAAATGGTAATAAATCAAAAAGTTTAATTGCTATTAATATAAGATCACATATTTTATAAACACGTTGTTGACCTTTCAGGTTTTTGAAAATTCTTAATGTTCATATTTTTAAAATTATTAAAAATATATTACAAAGATTAGAGCTAAAAAACACTTACTCAAAAACATGTTATAAAATTGGTAATTTATTACTTTGGAGATATTTTAGTTTCTTTTTAGTTTAGATTTAGTTCAATTCTAGTTCTGTACTAGTTCTGTTCTAGTTCTGCTCTAGTTCTGTTCTAGTTCTGTTCTAGTTCTGTTCTAGTTCTGTTCTAGTTCTGTTCTAGTTCTGTTCTAGTTCTGTTCTAGTTCTGTTCTAGTTCTGTTCTAGTTCTGTTCTAGTTCTGTTCTAGTTGTTCTAGTTCTGTTCTAGTTCTGTTCTAGTTCTGTTCTAGTTCTGTTCTAGTTCTGTTCTAGTTCTGTTCTAGTTCTGTTCTAGTTCTGTTCTAGTTCTGTTCTAGTTCTGTTCTAGTTCTGTTCTAGTTCTGTTCTAGTTCTGTTCTAGTTCTGTTCTAGTTCTGTTCTAGTTCTGTTCTAGTTCTGTTCTAGTTCTGTTCTAGTTCTGTTCTAGTTCTGTTCTAGTTCTGTTCTAGTTCTGTTCTAGTTCTGTTCTAGTTCTGTTCTAGTTTCTGTTCTAGTTCTGTTCTAGTTCTGTTCTAGTTCTGTTCTAGTTCTGTTCTAGTTTTTCTAGTTCTGTTCTAGTTCTGTTCTAGTTCTGTTCTAGTTCTGTTCTAGTTCTGTTCTAGTTCTGTTCTAGTTCTGTTCTAGTTCTAGTTCTGTTCTAGTTCTGTTCTAGTTCTGTTCTAGTTCTGTTCTAGTTCTGTTCTAGTTCTGTTCTAGTTCTGTTCTAGTTCTGTTCTGTTCTAGTTCTGTTCTAGTTCTGTTCTAGTTCTGTTCTAGTTCTGTTCTAGTTCTGTTCTAGTTCTGTTCTAGTTCTGTTCTAGTTCTGTTCTAGTTCTGTTCTAGTTCTGTTCTAGTTCTGTTCTAGTTCTGTTCTAGTTCTGTTCTAGTTCTGTTCTAGTTCTGTTCTGTTCTAGTTCTGTTCTGTTCTAGTTCTGTTCTGTTCTAGTTCTGTTCTAGTTCTGTTCTGTTCTGTTCTAGTTCTGTTCTAGTTCTGTTCTAGTTCTGTTCTAGTTCTGTTCTAGTTCTGTTCTAGTTCTGTTCTAGTTCTGTTCTGTTCTAGTTCTGTTCTAGTTCTGTTCTAGTTCTGTTCTAGTTCTGTTCTAGTTCTGTTCTAGTTCTGTTCTAGTTCTAGTTCTAGTTCTGTTCTGTTCTGTTCTGTTCTGTTCTGTTCTAGTTCTGTTCTAGTTCTGTTCTAGTTCTGTTCTAGTTCTGTTCTAGTTCTGTTCTAGTTCTGTTCTAGTTCTGTTCTAGTTCTGTTTTAGTTCTGTTCTAGTTCTGTTCTAGTTCTGTTTAGTTCTGTTTTAGTTCTGTTCTAGTTCTGTTCTAGTTCTGTTCTAGTTTTGTTCTAGTTCTGTTCTAGTTCTGTTCTAGTTCTGTTCTAGTTCTGTTCTAGTTCTGTTCTAGTTCTGTTCTAGTTCTGTTCTAGTTCTGTTCTAGTTCTGTTCTAGTTCTGTTCTAGTTCTGTTCTAGTTCTGTTCTAGTTCTGTTCTAGTTCTGTTCTAGTTCTGTTCTAGTTCTGTTCTAGTTCTGTTCTAGTTCTGTTCTAGTTCTGTTCTAGTTCTGTTCTAGTTCTGTTCTAGTTCTGTTCTAGTTCTGTTCTAGTTCTGTTGTAGTTCTGTTATAGATCTTTTCCAGTTTAGTTCCAGTTCATTCTCAATTCAATTCTAGTTTGATTCTATTTAAGTTTTAAATAATTTTGATTTAAGCAATCAAAAATATGCTGTAATTTTGCATGGATAAAAAATTCGTTATCTTTTTTTCCAACTGCCACTGCGATTTTTTGGTCTTGAATATTTAAAAAGCATCAACGAAAATTCAAACCAATAGATTTAAATATTTGAAATCACCATGATTTAGACCATAAAAAACAAACGTAATAAAAACAAATTTCTATGTGCAAGAACAACAACGCCTAAAAATAGGTTAAAACAACAGTAAAATGGTGAAAAACATAACAACATAGAAAACAAAATTGAAAAAACAATTGCAAATAAACAACAATCAAAAGCGAAGGTTTTTCTATAATGTTTTTTGTTGTTGTTGTATTTTATACAACTAAAAACTTAACACATCAATGGTCAGAACAATTTTTGTAGCATATTTATTGATAGATGCATGAAAATAAAATTAAACAGCAACAAAATGCTTGGACATGCAACACAAAGTAATCCTAACGATTTTACCAACACTACCTTATTTAATGTATTTTGATAGAAGCATTTAATATTTAAACAGTGGATAGCAAAACTAACTAACTGTTATGACATTTGAGAGTAGTATAGTGGTATATTAGTGAAATTATTAGTCTGAATTGAATTTATTTAAACCTTAAACAGATAAATGTTTCTTCAACTACTGTATTGATTTTCAATTGATGATGTTTATGGCAAAAAATTTTATATAAAAATGATTTTGTGTGATGTTTTATAGTATCATCCATTATGTTGCTAACACTTTTTCAGACATGTTAGAAACGTGTCACAATCAACCAATACATAAATAGATAAAGTAGAAGGACATCCACTATCAACTGAATAAAATGCCATTAAAATGATTTAAAAGTGTTAAATAAAATGGTTATAAATACAATGCCAATAGACAATAAAGTGTTACGTTTTGTGAAGCATACAACACAAAACATAACAAAATATATAGCATAGTTTAGAGAATAACGTTTATAATACAATGCTGCATACTTTTAGGCTGTACATAAACATTTTTTTGTGTGTGTGTTTTTGTATGTTTGTTGCACTGGCAACAAAACAACAATGAAATGTTTATACATATAAAAATAAATATCTATGAATAATAAAAATATTGTTGATAGTTTTCTTGTTGTTTTCTTTTCTGCTGCAGCTACTAGTACTGTTGCTGTTTGTGTTAATGTTAGCGCTCGCGTTTTTATTTTCTGTTAGTTTTTGAAAATTTGATTCTGGTTTTGCAAATAGTTATTTAATACTCATTTTTAGTATTGTATTTTTATGTCATAATATGAATATGATGGGTTTTAATGTTTTTTTCTTCTTTTTTTATTATTTAAACCATTTTGTGAAAAATCACAAACAAATTTTAGCAAAATATTTATTGGCACTTAAAAAATCTAGTTTTGAATGTTGATACATTTCGTGATAGTTGTTGCAAAAGAAAAAAAAAAAAACTAATTGAAAAAATGAAATAAAATAAAATTTTATTTTTATTTGATTAATTTTTAAACTATTGTTTCGACATACAATGAAATTGCTACTTCATGCATATTAAATTGCTAATCAACAGAACATTTATATGTTAAATTGTTATTTGTATACTAGAAGTAGGCAATAGAAAGTTTGATTTTCATTTTTCAGCATTTTTCGCAGATATCCTGTTAAATTTTTTAAATAGTCTTTTCATTAAATATTGTTGCTGGATTTAGGGCTCCTTTTAACTACTATCGGGTCTGTTGTGCGTTTCTTTACCAGAATCTCTGGTGGAAATCAAACCCGACCTCTAGACAGACAAGCAAGAACACTAACAGCTAATCTAATGGGGGCACACTTCTACTTAACTAAAGTTCTGTTTTTTGTTGGTTTTAGGTCTTGTATCTGAAGTTTAATTTCAAAAGAAGCATATAGCGCCCTTTAAAAGACTGTTGCCTACTTTCAGTCGTTGGTCTATTTTAGAATTTTTGTGTCTCTTGACTAGAAAATAGCTTCATTTTTGATTGATTTTGAATAATTAAATCTTACAAAGATCTCAAAAATGTATTTATTGATTTATTGTTGCCTAATTTAAGGCTTTATTTTTGTTTTTTAATGGTTTCTCTTCCAGCAAACAGATGTCATTTTTGAGACTACTCTATCAAAGAAAAAACTTCCTCAAGTCCTCCTTTTACACTTACTGTTGCCTACCTCAAGGCT